GACCCCAAGAGGCAGATGGAGGACGCCTTCCTCATCATCCTCGTCCTCCTCTGTTCATTATCCTCCCCCTCTTCTCCCCTCATAATCATAATCATCCTCCGCCTTCCTGATCATCAGCAGCATTCTATAATGAAAATGTTCTCATTCACTCTCCATTATCCCACCTCCCGTCTCACTCCTCATCTCCTTCCTGTCCACTCACAACCAGCATCATCATCGTAATCGTCGTGATCATCATCACCATAATCTTCATCACAAGCGTAATCATCCTCGTCATCATCAGCATCATCAGGGTCATCATCAGCGTCATCATGGTCACCGTCAGCAGCATCAGCATCATCATCAGCATCATCAGGGTCATCATCATCATCATCGACATCGTTGTCGCTGTCGTCGTCATAATCATAAGCATAATCAAAGTCAGCATCATCATCATCACAACCATCATCACCATCAGCACCATCAGCATCCTCATACTCAGCATCGTCGTTGACGTCATCGTCGTCATGATCATCATCAAAGCATCATCGTCAACGTCAGCATCATTGTCACATTCATCATCAGAATAATCGTCCTGTTAATCATCATCATCATCATCATCATCATCATCATCAACATCACCATCATCATACTCATCATCATAAGCGTAAGCATCAGCATCACCGTGATCTGCACCATCATCATATCCATCGGCATCATCAAAATAATCATCATCACTATCGTCATCATATGCATTACCATCATCCGCATCGTCATCATCATCATAATCGTCACCAGCATCATCAACATTATAATCATCATATCCATATTTACCCTCATCATCATCATCCTCATCATCCACCTTATCCTCGCTCGCTCTCTCTCTCTCTGCCTATGTTACTTCTCTCGGTATGCATATATATATATATGTATACTAGAACCTTCACGCGCGTTTCGCGCGCGCTCAGGCTCGACCTGACTTGGAGATAAACGTGCAGCGTGGAAGAAGCACCGTGCACGAACAGAAGGACACCGTGGGCGTCGAAGACCATGTCCCAGCGGCACCCCTGGGGACGTCACCTGCAGTTTCCACGCCCTCTCCTTCATCTCTTGCTGCCTTTCCTCCCGCAACGCATTGCACCCAGACGCGACAAATGAATCCTCCGGGCCGACTGCGTCAGAACGCAAAGGACGGTGCTCCCGAACGCCGTTGCGTCAGGAAAGCTGGATGGTCCACTAATCATCGTGGCTGCCAACCACCAGGCGGATCGGAAGAGAGAGAGAGACAGAGAGAGAAAGAGAGAGAGAGAGAGAAAGAGAGAAAGAGAGAGAGAGAGAGAGATATCGCTCGTACCCAAGGGGGCGCTCACAAGGTCCTCCAGAGTCGGGCCTGCGCGGGCGCACGTGAGAGATCGGCGAGAGCCATAGCTGCTCGGCGAATTCCGTAAAGATGGCCAATCCACTCCTCCTCAGTGGGGGGGGGGCGGCGGCGAGACACGTACGATATTGTACATGTGGAAAGAAGTTACGATGGCCTCGACAACCTGTGCACTCGGGGTGTGGTCGAGACCTAACCTGGCGATCGGGCTCTCTGGGGCAGGGACCTCTTGATGGTAAGCCCACGACCACAACACTGGGCAGCGGACATAGTGCTTAAATGTGTCGACGCCCGCATCACAGTTGCACCCGAATTTACATTTAGCGACGCCGCCTACTGCATGGAGCCTCGCTGTCGTAGAGAGAAAGAGAGATATACATATGTATATATATATGTATATATACACATCTATATATATATATGTGTGTATTATATCTATGTCATGGAGTTGAAACAAGAAAGGGGAGAAGGAAGACGGAAGCGAGGCGGGGGGGACAGACGGTGGCGCTTGTTCTGCATCCCCTCACGGTCCAACCGCCCTCCCCTGGCTCTCTAAGGAGGGAGGAGGTCGAGGACAGAGGGTAGAGTATCAGTGAAGAGGCAGGGGGGCACCTCCTCCTCATCATCCACCCTCCTCCTCCTCATTCTCCTCCTCCTCCTCCTCCTCCTCCTCCTCCTCCTCCTCCTCCTCCTCCTCCTCCTCCTCCTCCTCTCATCCTCCTCCTCATTCTCCTCTTCCTACGAGGCAAGATGGAGAAGGCCAGGCTGGAAGCAGGGAGCGGGAGGCCAGAGAGGGCCGGAGCAGAAGGGAGGGGGGAGATGGTCCAGCTGCTGGCGGAGGAGGACCGTGGAAGAACGATGGCGGAGGGGCGGCGATCAGGCAAAAGAAACGTAGAGGAGGAGGAGGGGGAGGAGGAGGAGGAAGGCGACGAGGAAAAGGAGGAGGAGGAAGAGGAGGAGGAGGAGGAGGAGGAGGAGGAGAACGGACCCGTTACGCGGCAGTCCGCCCGAGAGCTCTCCAGGACAGGGGGGGCCTCTGACAAATGTCTTAGGGTATCCTGGAAAGCCTCTCGGGAGCGTGTACGAAGCATTCGGGGAGCCTCCAGGGGCATCTTGGGAAGCCTCTTGGAGGTTTCGTGGGGGCCTCCGGGGGCCTCTGAGTTAAGGTCATCTTCGAGGCCAGCTGGCGGTGTTCGGGGCCAGGCTTCCAGCATATGACCAACAAGTGTGTACATCTGGCTACACGTGTCGTTATAGACTCCTCTTTCTCTCTCTCTCTCTCTCTCCCTCTGTCATTCTCACTCCCTCGCCTAATCTCTGCCTCCCCCACTCGCCAACCGATCGTTTTCCCAGCTTCTGCCTCCTCCTCCTCCTCCTCCTCCTCCTCCTCCTCCTCCTCCTCCTCCTCCTCTTCCTCTTCCTCCGCCTTCTCTTCATCATCACACCATCATCATCACTCTCGTCGTGGCCTTCATCAGCATCATAATCATCATTATCGCCATTGTCACCATCATTATCGTCATCGTCATCATCACCATCCTCAACACAACCACCACCATCATCATCACCATCATCAACAACAACAGCAACAACAAAATCAGCATCCACTTTCTTCTCCGCATGATCATAACCACCACCCGCATCGTCATCATCATCATCGGCATCATGGCCATCATCGTGTGTCATCATTATCAACATCATCGTCGACATGGCCATCACATCATCATCGTCAGTGTCGTCATCGTGCTTTTCTTCCTCCTACTCATAACCAACAATACCGGCACATCAGAATCACCTGCATCATCATCACACCATTAGCACCACCAGCACCCTTAACACCACCACCACCACCACCAGCATAATAATCATCACCACCACCACCACCATCATCACCAGCTTCACCATCATCAGCTCATCAGCATTACCGTGAGCACCATTATCATCACCATCACCATGCATCAAATGCAAATTCAATATCATCCCCGACAGCATCATCACCGTCATCACCATCAGCATCGGCAGTCTCATCACAATCAGCATCATCAACATCACCGCCGCCAAGGACACCACAACCACCACCACCATCATCATCATCGTCATCATCACCATCGTCGTCGTAGTCCCCCGGCTTCCTCGCCATGCCTCCCCTTTCTCCTCGTCTTCCTCTTCCTCCTCCTCCTCCTCCTCCTCCTCCTCCCCCTTCGCCTCCTCCTCTGCCTGCTCCATTATTTTTTTCGAGCGTTTGCCGCCACTGGTTCGTCCAGCGTGGGCTTCTCCTGGCAGACTGGGAGAACGTATATGTAAACCCATGTATATGTATGTCTATTATACAGCGCGGGCATTTGTCTTTCCGCGTCTGGGAACTTGCACACATTAGAAGAATGCTCCCTGGTGACCCTTGCGCTCTGAGCGGGTCGCCGCATCACGGCCAAGGAAAAGAAATACGGCGTGGGCATCTTTAACCATCTCAGGCCTGACGGCTTGCTCGCAATTGAATCCGTGGCCAGCCAGGCGCGCGCCCCTCAGAGCGCCTCGAGCATGGCCCCCAGGTCGAAGGCGGCACTAAGGCGCGTTCAGCCCCGGAGCGATCCCTCGAAGACGGCGCAGACCTTGGAGAGGTCGCGGGCGCGGGCGGCCGAGCGGGCCTGCACCTCACCCCCGCCTCCACAGGCAGCGGCGAGCGCGGCCGCGTCGTAGCGGACCCTGGCCTCCTGGAGGCGCCGCTGGAGCTTGGGCAATTCGGCCCGCGAGGCTCGGTCAACGCGCTCCCGACGGCGCACGAAAGGCCTGACTCTGGCCCTCCCCCGCTGCACGCGCCCGGCGTCGGCCAACCTCATCTCGATCGCGACCAGGTCGTCAGCCGCCGCCGCGAGGTCGGAGTGGGCCTGGTCAGCACCACGGCCTCCGCGGGCAGCAGCGAATGCGGCCGTGTCGACACGGCCCCTGGCCTCCAGGAGGAGCCGCTGGAGCCCAGCCACATCGGCCCGCGAGGCACGGGCCAAGCGCCCCCGACGCCGCACGAACGGCCTAGCCTGGCCCACTCCCGCAGCATGGCTTGTGGGCCATGGCCGTCCAAGCCAACTCCTCTGAGAAGCGCGCGGCGGTGTCGGCCTTGGTGATGATGTCGCCCAGCGCCCGGCAAAAGGGCTGCGCTGAAATGCCCTCGCATGGCATCTCCACCAGGTGTCTCGCGGAGCTGTCCGATTCTTTGGCCAGGCGGTTCGCGAGCTTCCAACCTGCCGCCACGCCGTGTCCGAAGGCGCAAAACTCCGTAAAGGGTCGTGCCGGTACCAAACACCTGGTGCCAACTCCACCGGCTCCTCCGCGACGTCCTGCATGTCGTGCTCCTCCTCGGAGATCCAATCGGGCACGAACCTCGGCACGACCGCATTGCACTCCTTGCCGCCGCGTTGCCAGGCGTTCAGCTGCCGAGGCGACGCTGCCGCGATCTTACCCGCCATCACGTCGAAGACGTGGTATGCCGTATGCCGCGTTGCGCCTTCTCTTCACCAGCGGGTCCACGTCCTCATCGTCAAGTTTGGCCTTCAGCACTGGGACAATGAACTGTACCCTCTGATGGACCTCGTCGGTTAGCGGCTCCCTGATGTTCGCCAGCTCCTTCTCCAGAACCTTGATCTGGGACCACGAGGCCTCCAACTGGCAAGTGCGGCGCCGAATCGTGCCATCTGCGGATTCGCGGGCACGCTGCACCGCCGCAGTGCGAACCGGCCGCTTGCTGCTCGGGATCATCGTTTGCGACCCCTCTCGCGCCAGATCGCCCTCCGCCATGCCGCCCGCCGCAGGCGCTCGACAGGCTTGAGGCTGGCTTGAGCCAAAATGGTTGCGGACGGTGCTGGCATTGGATAAAGGAACCCTTGAATAAGGAAGCCAGGGTCTGGCAACCGGTGGAGCTCCAATCGTGGATTGGCCACTGCTGCCCTCATCAGATGAGGAATCCCCCAGGGCTTGAGGCCTCCTGGCACTTTCCCGAAACGAGCGCCCGCACCGTAGGCCCAACAGTCTTCCAGCGACTCAGCGAGCCACGAAGCCTGCTGTAGCAGGCCTGACGGTCTTATCGCTGGACGCCTGTCGGGGGCGCGCTCTCTCGCCAAGCCCCCAGGGACTGGGTGACCCAGAGTGGTTTCCCGAGATGTTGGCCCATTTTCTGGGGACGCTTTTGCCACCGTCGCCGCCATCGCAAAGTACTCTGAGAGCCGCGACCCCGTCGAGTCTCAGGCTAGCAAGGATCTAGCTCCAAGCTCCCCCGGCCCGCGTGCCCCCGATGGGTTCCGAGGTAACGGTGGCGCGGCCCGCGCCCAGCCCACGCCGTCCAGCCGTGTTGGTCCAAGGTCAAGCCGCTCGGCCCTTGCGCTTGAGTCTGAACGCCGCCGACGGGGTCGGCTCAACTGGGTCAGATAGGCGCTTCAGCCGGCTCGGCAGCTAGACGCTGATACGATGGAGTGCCGGGCCGCGCCTGGCGGGCTGGCTGGATCAGAAATTGGCTTGGCTTTGGCTTAGCCGATGGCCTGAGGGGGGCGCTTAGCCAGGGGGCCAAGGCATGGAGGTGCTTGAACGCAGCCGACGAGGTCGGCTCAAGTGCTTTCAGTCAGCTGCTCGCGCCCGTCAACGCCATCCAAATCATCGCTCCACACAGCCACCCCACAAATGTTCCAGGACGGCCTCCCCTCCCGCCCAGGCGCTTGAAATGCAAATTGTGCTTGATGGGTGTCGCTATGGAAGCCAGCACGACAGGCTTCATCTCGCGGGGTGAAAACGATATCTCCAACATGCGAGTTGCCTTTGTATGTTACAGCACGTTTCGGAGATATACTACCACTGTCGTCTGCTGCATGCGAACATATTGTCGTTCTTGCTAGAGCAGCGCATCTGCCACGTGTGCAACCTGTGAGCACCTACTGCTGTAAGAGATCGCTCAACACACGCTGTAAAGTAGCCTCGCGCCTAGGGCCTTCAGCGTCATAAAGTCAAAGCCCACCAAGACTTATCATGGTTGGATCCTCTCTTGGAACGCTGGCCGCAATCAATAAACATTGACAGGGCAGGCAGACCTGGCAAGGCAGGCGCGATCCGCCACATGGAGCCCAGCAAGGCTGAGGTTGAGCGCCGAGAACTGGGAAACAAAAATAAGGCGGTACCTGAAGCATGTTGCAAGAGCTTTACAGAAGTACCCAGCACTCGCCCCCAGAGGAATGCAGGGCTTTCGTTGATTGTGTCTGACATGTTTGCTGCCATTGGGATGCCGAACGAGCACAGGCTGGGAAAGGAGGGAGGTTAGACTGTGTGGATGACCTGTTGCCACCTTCACTGCCAGCCGCCAGTCCGCGGGGCGGAGAGGGGCAGCTGGCAATCGTGCCCAAGGGGCAAGTTCTATCCAACATGATGGGCACACAGAACCGCCAGCCAATCTGCCACTCCTGCCTTGCCTTGCCCCCCTCCGCTCATGCACTCCGGATCTCATAACAATGGGGAAGGGGTCTGCTTCTAGGGGGGGTCTCACGGGCTTCGTCAAACACATTTGTAGGGGGGGTCTCGATTTTGGACCTTCTGTTGCCTGTCTTGGGAGGGGGGTCCCAGACCGGCCGCCAAACACTTTTTTGACCCCCCCCCTACTATTATGAGATTTGGGGTATGTGCCACCAACGAAGGAGCCCTTCCCGGGGCTGCATATGCACCCAGGCTCCACAGCCAGAGGTTCCAGGACAGGCCAAAGCGCACAAATGGAAATGTACAAGCCAAGTCATGTGCGTGCCAAGCCTGCCGCGAAAGATTAAAGAAAATCCCCCACCTCAGACAACAGTGTGATCAGGATGGAATGCTGCGTTCTCTGCCGTAGCGGCAAAAACGGGCGGCCAAATAATGTGTGCAACAATTTAGGACGAAGACCACTTGATCTCCGTATGCTCGTCCTGTGGTGCATTTGCCAGAGACGGACTGCGATTGGACTCTCAGAAGACTGGAAAGGCAAGTTTACAAGCCCCCGCAACAAGAGCAACTGGAAAAGAATGATCCAGCAAAATCACCAGAACACATCCAAGAGAAGCAAAAAGGCTAGATGGATTGCTTCTTTTAGGCAGCATTTTCTCATAGTCGATTCGAGGCAGGGCTAGAGACGCAGCAGCCGGCATAGATGGGAGCTCGAAAGCGATTACGTCCACCCCCCTCTCCTTGACTCCGCTTGGCCTTCCTTCTTCGCCTAGACACTCTCTCATTCCCTGCGTAAGGCGCATATTTTGTCGCTGCTGTGTGGGCCGTACGGTATTAGTTGCTGCGACTAGCCGTGCCTTTTTTCACCGCTCCGATGGCAGATTGAAGCTGCAACAAAGTGTAGCAAGTCCGAGCCTCCTTAGATGGCGGGCATATTGATTCGCACTACCTGTTCTCAATCCGATCCAGTCCAATCCTCCTCCTCCTCCTCCTCCTCCTCCTCCTCCTCCTCGTGCTCCTCCTCCTCCCTCCTGCATCCTCGCTCCTGCCTCCTCTCTCCTTCCTCCTGACTCCTCCTCCCTCCTCACTCCTCCTCCTCCTCCTCCTCCTCCTCCTCCTCCTGACGGAGGGGACGGAGGACTGGTGGATCCTTCGTGGCTCACCTTGCACGGGGTCCTCGACAGATCCAGGTACTTGTTGATATCCCCAGCCGTGATGCGCGCGCCTGCAAACGGCCTGTCGCCCCCCCTTCCGCCCACTCTTCATCCTGCTCTCTTCGATATTCCCTTCTCGGCGGTGGACAAACCTCCATTTAGTAAACCTCCCTTTAGTGAGAACGGCCTGGGACCGAAACCGACGGACCTGGACCCGCAAAAATGACGGCCGCAACGCCCTCTCGCGAGTCGAAAACGGCCAATTCACTAATCGACGTGTCAGGGTAGGAGGTCTGTCAACCTCCGACCTTCCTCCGCCCCCTCCCCTGTCCTTCCCCCTGTGAACATCATTTCCTACTGCTCGCTCGCTCGCTGGAGCTTCCAAGCTTGAATATCCAACGAGGCCATGCAAACGAAATCACACCAAACAGAAACATGCACTTGGGTGGGAACGGCAGTCAGGTCGACACCACGTCAGGGCCCCTCGATAACCCAAGAGCACCAACTTCCAACACCAGCTAAAACCTCCGAAGACCCCCAACACCGGGACCATGCGGAAACCTCGTCCTCCTTACCATACCACTTTCCTCCTCCTCCTCCTCCTCCTCCTCCTCCTCCTCCTCCTCCTCCTCCTCCCTCCTCCTCCTCCTCCTCCTCCTCCTCCTCCTCCTCCTCTCTCTCCTCCTCCTCCTCCTCCTCCTCCTCCTCCTCCTCCTCCTCCTCCTCCTCCTCCTCCTCTCCTCCTCCTCCTCCTCATCCTCCTCCTCCTCCTCCTCCTCCTCCTCCGCTCGAATCGGACGGGCATGGTCGGTCCGCTTCGGTCCCGCGCAGGCGGCCTCCGCCCATTGGATGCACGTTGGTCCGACGAGGATGGAATGCACATGTTGCGACGCCACGTGCGGGCTGCAGCCCCGCCATCGCGCCCGCGCCTGGCTCGGCGCGGCGTGCCGCGAGGCCCGTGCGCTCGAGGCCCGCGTGGCCGGGCGACGTCAGGTGCCGTGGGCCGATCGAGCTTGGGCGTCTCACGTCTCATCCCTCTCGCGCTCTGTTCTTCCGCGAGTCGTGCCGCCCCTGCTCCTGCATGAGTTGTGGCGCGGTCGCCACTTCCCAGCCTCGACCCCTGCGAGGGCCCTGTCGGCACCAGGTCGGCGGCGCAAGGACGCAGAATCTCCAGGCCTTGGAGGAAGGCTTGTTTCCAGGGCGCTCGGCTGCCGCACCAGCCTTCACAAACAACACCAAAAAAAACGTTGCGGCTGCGCCTGCTGGGACGGCCGCGTACCAGTGTGGACGGAGGTGAACCAGGCTGCAGCCTGGGCTCCCACGTGTCGGGGCCGGGCCCTGAATCGCGATGGCGCCCCTGGAGCACGCTCCAGGAGTAGCGGCGCCCTGGCAATTCAGCCGGCGGGCCTGGGCATGAAGCCTTCCAGGGTGAGGATCACCAACCCATGGGGCACAGCACCAAACAACTCATCCCCCTCCTCCTCCTCCTCCTCCTCCTCCTCCTCCTCCTCCTCCTCCTCCTCCTCCTCCAACTCCTCCTCCTCCTCCTCCTCCTCCTCCTCCTCCTCCTCCTCCTCCTCCTCCTCCTCCTCCTCCTCCTCCTCCTCCTCCTCCTCCTCCTCCTCCTCCTCCTCCTCCTCCTCCTCCTCCTCCTCCTCCTCCGCATCCCTCCACATCCCTCCCTCCCCCCTTCTCTGCGGGGGGAGGGGGAAAGCAAGGAAGGCTGGTCCGAAGAGCGCTCGTGGCCAGCGGGGCCCGGACATAGACGGCCCGCAGCAGGCCGAGGTGCCAGACCGAGGTGGGGGCCACGGCCGAAAAAAAGCACCCGGGCCGATGCTAGAAAGTGCAAGGCGGACAGCCCCAACGGATGCCCAAAGCGACAATCTGGGCTTTCTCCTTTGAGAGACAACGATAGGGGGGGGACTGGAACAGGAGGTGAAACATCGACCTCGAATCGCCGATGCATCGCCGATAGATCGGCGATGGCCCCCGATGGCGAATCCGCACGTGCCTGGGCAGGGTGGGCTATCAGACCCCTATCGGCGATCAATTGGCGATTGGGAGTCGATGCCTCCCCACATGTGCCTATCCCCTCTTCCTTCTCTTCCTACTGATTATTCCTGACGCGTCCTCCTCCTCCTCCGCTTGCTAAAGGTTCGTCCTCATCTTCCTCCTCTTCCTCGTCTTCCTTCTCTTCTTGATTACTCCTCCTGGCAATTCCTGATTATTCATTCTCCGCTTCCTCCTCCTCCCCCTAATCAATCTTCCTCCTCTCCCTCCTCCTTCCGGCCTGCCGGAGGAGACCTCCATCGCACCCTCGGGCGCGGGGCCGCGCCCTCGGCGAGAGAGAGGGGGCCGGAGTAGAGCGCCCCTGCCAGAGCCAGAGGTGCGGGGCCGCAGAGGCAGAAGCGGCGAGAGGGTCGGTCGGACTCGGCACTGCAGTCCTCCTCCTCCTCCTCCTCCTCCCCCTCCTCCTCCTCCTCCTCCTCCTCCCTCCTCCTCCTCCTCCTCCTCCTCCTCCTCCTCCTCCTCCTCCTCCTCCTCCTCCTCCTCCTCCTCCTCCTCCTCCTCGCCTCCGCCTCCTCCCCCACATCCCTTCACATGCCTCCACATCCATCCACTTCCTGCTTCTCCTCCTCCTCCTCCTCTCCTCCTCCTCTCCTCCTGCTCCTCTTCCTCTCCTCCTCCTCCTCCTCCTCCCCTCCTCCCCTCCTCCTCCTCCTCCTCCTCAACCCCCTCCTCCTCCACATCCCTCCCCCTCCTCCTCCTTCCTCCTCCTCCTCCTCCTCCTCCTCCTCCTCATCATCATCATCATCATCATCATCATCTGATCCTCATCCTCACCCTCCTCCTCCTCCTCCTCCTCCTCCTCCTCCTCCTCCTCCTCCCCCTCCTCCTCCTCCTCCTCCTGCAGCAGTCTGCTCGCCGCCCCGAGAACCAGAGGAGGTGCATGTGCAAGTACCGCCGCCCGCCCTAGCGAAGGGAGGCCCAGCCGAGCCCCCGGCGGCCCAGCGCAGAAACGAGAGAGCGACGGGCGGCGCGAAGCGCTGGGAGAGACATTGCGGGACGGGAGGGGAGGAGGGAGGAGAGAGGAGCGATGACGCCACGGGCGCTCATGTTCACCCAGCGGCTCGCCCAAGACTAGGAGGGGGGGAGGTGGAAAGAGAGGCAGGGAGGAGGGGGAAGGAGGAGAAGCGCAGGGGAACGCAGCTGAGTGGTCTTTGTCCAGCCCCCCGCCGTCCCACCTCCGAGTTGAGAAAGCTGCGGAGGGGAGTGGTGCCTCGCAGCCAACGCAAGTTTGGAAAGGCGCCCCGTTTGTCTGTCTGAGGGCGATGCCTGATGTCAGTGTCCCGATGTGCTTGCCTTGAACGCTGGGCTCTGAGTAACACCTAGGCACTCTTCGCACACGGCGGGGGCGACTGGCCTTGGCGCGATTCGCTCCGACCCAACATCGCTGGGAATATGTGAGGTTCTCGCCAGTGCAACCACCTACCCTAGGATGCAAATCCTGGGAGGTTAAGTTGCGCATTGGCATTCGTGCATCCGTGCTCGGAAACCAGCCTGCTCCGACATAGTCCCGCTTCATCTGGCTCAATCACGGGCTCAATCCAGCCTGCTCCAACTGAATGTACTCTTTATATTGTTTAGTAGCCCTGGATCGCTCTTACATGGACCTCCCAGAAGTTGCCAAATTTGCCAGTGGAAGATGAGACGATAGGAAGAAGACGGGGGCGAACTTGGCGCGAAGATGGGAGAACCCTCGAAGCCGCAGCAATGTCTTGCCGTTGCTCAGACGCCCAATCCCCGTGCATGTTTAGATGTCATGCGCCTGTGTTCCGCAAGATGACCCAAGATGCTCCTCGATGGCCCTCGCCGAGGAAAAATGCACACGTCCGAGCGATGCCAAGATGTGGACCTCCCCTCCAATGGGGTCCAGGGCGAACACGAGCTCCCGGAGAGCAGGGATGGGCCCAGTGGCCCAGTGGACCTGTCGAGGGCCTCCTGGCCAGGTCGGACCAGGGCGGAGAGAAGCGCTTTCAGTCAAGGTCAGGCCCTCTGCGACCCTTACGCCCAGCAAGGTCGAGGCCCATCCCCTTGCTTCACCAAGAGCATATGGGAGCTCCGCGTCGACGGGCGGCCGACAATCTCCAGTGCTCTCGGCAAGGAAACTACAGTGGACTGGAGGGTTCGACATCATTGCGCGCCGCCCTGAAACATTGGTGGTCGATGTGATGGTGTCCTGAATCCGCCTTGGGCCGACCAGGCGACCGGGAATGGCGAGAACGAAAAGGGAGGAGGAAACCAACGCTTTGACCTCAGTTTGGTTTCGGCTGAAGACTGAAGGGTGAGTGTTTGTGGCTATATATATACACACATATATATATATATATATATATATGTATATATATAAATGAAAAACATACCTATACGACCACCCTGCGGGTGATAAGGAGGTTGGGGGGGGTGGAGGGGCCGAGCAATCGGCAACAGTGGTGATTGTTCTCCTGACGATGCCAGTGGAGATTTTTTTCTCGGAGACTTGCTGAGGCTCCTCTGCCTCCCTTTGTCGGGTTTGCATCAAATGCATCATCATCATCATCATCATCATCATCATCACCATCATCATCATCATCATCATCATCATCATCATCATCATCATCATCATCATCATCATCATCATCATCATCATCATCATCATCATCATCATCATCATCATCATCATCACCATCATCATCATCAAATCATCATCAACATCATCATCGGGACACCGACGGGACACCGACGGGACACCACCGGGACACCAGTGACACCGCGCGGCCCCGCGCCCCGGTGGAGAATCATTTGGTGCGGCCGCGCCTCAGCCACAGAGGACACCACCGGGACACCGGCGGGACACCGCGCGGCCCCGCGCCCCGGTGGAGAATCATTTGGTGCGGCCGCGCCTCAGCCACAGGAGACTTTCCTCTCGCCCGCCCACGCAGCTTCGCCTCGCCCGCACGCGCGGCACGCACGAACACGAAACCGAAATCGATTTCCCGGTAGGGGGGCTCTCCGTTCCACTTCGATCTCACCCCCCAACCTCCGATTTTTTTAAAATAATTTTATATATAAAAAATGGGTGCGGCGTCTTTGAATGTCCCCGCCGGCGTCCCCTGGGGTTGCGCGAGGTTTCCTGGGGTGCCTGGGGTTACCTGGATTTACCCAGGCTTGTCCCACAATGACAAGCAACTCCAAGCAACGCCAAACAATGTCAAAACCATCAAAAGCAGTGGGAAATAGTTGCAAGGAGTGCCAAGCATTGCTAACCAATGCCAAACAATGGCTAGCAATTCCAAGTAATGAGAAGCATGGGTACCTAACTGTGCCAAGCAAAGCCAAGCGATGCTAAACAATGCTAGGCCACTGCCAAGCAACGCTAAGCAACGCCAAGCACCGCCAAGCACGGCCAAACAACGCCAAGCAATAATACGGGCATGCTCCAAGCATCGCAAGACAACGCCCAGCAATGCCAAGCAATGCCAAGAAATGCCAGGCAATTCCAAGTAAAGACTCAAAACATGCCAAGACATTCCAGAGTCTGGAAAGTGATAGCAACAACGCCAAGCAAGACTTTGCATTGCGCACCTTTGCTTTGGTCAAAGCTGTGTTGAATTGGCCCAGAAGAAAACGGACCCCGAATCGGGATCGTGCTGGGCTCATTCGTAGCATTGTCCTCATTATTCTCCTGGCCAGCATCCAACCCCTCCTCATTGACATGACCCCTACGTTGACCACGCACACGATCCCTGCGCTTACTCTTCCCCCTCCCCCTTTGGCCCGAAGTATGATAAAAAATCGTCATGGTTCTAAGTGCTGTCATCTTCGTACCCCCCACCTCCTCCTCCGTCCTCCGCCTCGTCCTCCTCCACTTCGCCATCCCGTCGCCCCCCCCCCACTAGTCCCCCGATCCAATGCCTTTCGCGCCGAAAGGGCCGCGGAGTGCGCACACAATTACACAATAAAGGCTTCAAATATGCATCGCGCCAGTTTCACTAGCTCACCTGCTGCGCTGCCTAACCCACCGGATTCCTGCAACGCATCCGCCATCGGCCGCGCGCGCCCCTACTCTGCAACAAGCTACACAACACCTCAACGCGCCCTCGATTCCGCCGGGCCTGCAGGCCCAGGGATTATGGGGAATGCTTGGAAAACACGGCTAGGCAAGGCACGTTGGCCTCGCCGTCAGTCCCGCGTCTGTCGTTGTCAGCACCGCTCAGGGCTGGCGCTTCCCAGCCACTCTGCTGATTCAGGCCTTTCTCCTGCTGCGGACTGTCCAGAATTCATCGGCTAGCTCGCCGTCGCCGTCGTCGCTAGGTGGGCGGAACGGCCCGCCTACTAAACCGCCGCTGCGGGAGATAATCGCGAGCTTCTGCTGGGCCACCGGCTTCGCCAGCCCGTCTGCGTCGCTGTCGCCCGCGCGGGCCCATCCGAACTCCTGGCACTTCTTCTCGCACCACCCGCTGCAAAACCAAGAGCCTGATTCCGATGGGCCTCATCTTGCCTGGTTCTCTCCTCGCGATGCGCGGGGCGCTGCTGCTGTCGCTCGCCACGACGGGCGTCGCGTTCTCGTGCCAGTCGATTATCAGCGACGCCAATCCAAGCGCTTCGGCTGATCCAGATCCTGCTGCGCACAGCGCGCTTTCCGCTGAGCCTGGGGCCGCGCCGCCCTGACGCCGCGCCCGCGGCATCACGGTGTACTCGCAGCGCTTCGACGCACCGCCGCTGACTGAGATCCTGTCGCCCTCGTTGTCGGCCCAGTCTGCATCCGCAGGGCGCTGCGCGATCTGCTCGATATGTTTCTCTGGCTTCGACACTCGCTCCACACCCTCGGCCGCCGCCAGGAAGCCCGTCATCTTCCTTGACCCGCGCTGGTCTCTCTGAGGCTCGTGCCGCCATTCCGCGCCCAAGAACTCCAACTCCGCGCACCATGTCAGTCCTGTGGCTCGACAGCGGGAGACATTCCCCCACGCGCACCCCGCGCGCGCCGCGGCCTGCTGTTTTCAGAAAAACTCGCCGTCGCCCTGCTGCTGCTGCGTAGCCTCAAGGTTTCGCTGTCTGCAACCCGCGCTCCAGCTGAGCAACCTCGATCGTCGGCGTCTTGACCCGGATGGCGCGCCGCCCTTGACCACGCGGGCCTGCGCGCCCAGGAAGGCGCCCTCCCCCGCTGCCTCGCACGGCTCCGCCGCGCCCGAGGGCCCAATATCCTCGCCCATTTCCGCCTGCAGTTGGCCCGCCGACCCCCTGGGCCCCGCCGCGAGGAAGTCATCGGCGCGTCGCCCTGCCAGGGCCTTGTCTCGGGCCCTCATGAAGACGCATCCGTTGCAACGCCCTCGATCAGGACTC